ATATAAAAATTTTAGAATCTTGCATTTTTTTATATAGAAGGGTAAAATAAATATAATTTAATCACACATTAGTATTTTTCCTCTTATCAAACAATGGTTTTAAAAATGAAATAATTTAAAGGTGGAAAAATGAAAAATTATTGTTATAAAAATGCGATCTTAAAAACGAGAGAAACAAATACTAAACATTTTTATTCTATCATTAAAATAATAATTTATTTTTTACAAATGTGGTCTCTTTTCTTCATTTTCTACTTTAGGATCAGCATTGCTTGAGAGTTTTAAAATAATAATTTTTTAAGTAAGACACACACACACAAAACACAACACACACACACACACGTCGTATTAAATACAGTATAATATTAAATATCTGCAGACAAATATACACATGTAATTGTTCAATGCTCTATATTATAATCTTCTGTATTTATTGTATAGTAAATGTTATACAGAACTACTATCATTTTTTGTATGGAGAAACGTAAAACGCAACGTTCTTAATTCAATAAGAATAAAATTAGTTTTTTTTTAATGTAAAAACGTTCAAAAAATCTTCCAATTTTTCAAATATGATTTATATGTATAAAACACTATAAAGGGTATATTTCGAGCAATCTCTATCACATAGGTTTCTCCATACATGACAACATATATTTTCTAGAATATACATGTATGTATACATTAATATATCGTGATTTATAAATAATAGCATATTAATAAATAATAAAAATACGACGCAAAACTATTTTTTCTAAGATTACTGTGTTTAATAAAATTAAGGTAAATAAGATTTGTGCACAAGCGTATAAACTTCTGTCTCAAATAAATATTTTCAATGACATGAATTTTTGTAATTATCTTAAGATAAATAATATAGTAGTATAGTTTTAATTATTACATATCATTATTAAGATGACGCTTTTTTGTAACAGCTTATACTTGACACATTTTTTAAATATCATCCTCGAAGATAATTTAAATTTTACGAAACATTTCGTAAAATTGCACAATACCGAGATAAGTATACTTTATATTAATCAGTTACGTCGAAGCTTCTGAAATTATCATTTTTTTCTAAAATTTTTACAGGAATGTAACTGATACAGATTCTTTACAAACCTACGAAGAAAAGTACGCCACAATTGCTGACTTCCTAAAATACAAGAAAGGATATTGCACAGGGAAATCTAAATAAAAAATAACTTGACACATGAGAAATAAATCAAGAAAATCACGTTCATCGCCGCCGTCTACTGCAAAGTACAAATATACATTGAACATATCCAAAAGACTCGAATAAAAGAGAAGTTGAGCAAAAACGCCCTGACCTGTAACATATCCTCTACTAGCCGCACTACCTACTTCGTTAACGCCGCAGTTGAGGAATCATATGAAAAGCTATTTTTATTTCTATGGACACTGCAAGAAACCTTTCAAGCTAAAAGAAAAACTGCAGCAACACTTAAACAAGATGCACACTTCCAAAGACTCGTTTTCTTGCGACACCGTCTGTAAATGCAAACGATCGTTGCGAAAGCACTATCTGAAGAAGCATACGGAGGGTCAGAATTACGTGTGCAACGCGTGCAACAAGTGCTTCAAGATGAAGAGCGATTTGTGTATGCATGTGCAAAGTATTCACGGTGACATATGCGAGACGGTCTGCGACGTGTGTGGTAAGACTTATTGGAATTTGTTCGCTCTTAAGAAATGCCTGAGTCACCTCCATAGCGACCGTAGATTCCCTTGCCACATATGCGGAGGAAGCTCACGACGAAAGAATCGCTAGAGAGGCACTGCAAGCTACATAATCGGGAGAGCGCTATGTGCTAGGTATGCGGTAAGACCTTCAGTCGCAATTATACCTTGAAGAAACACATGAGGAGTTACGACGATATCCGTACGGTTGCACGATCTGCGACAAATTGTTCAGAGCACGAACAAGAGCATATATAAGCAGCATCTCCTGACGCAGATCGGCGTCAGACCGTACGTATGCAATGTGTGCGGCCAGAGTTTTACTCAGAAGCCAGGACTGATCACGCATCGGAAGAAGCATCGTGGATTACTACCTCGGCTTCCCACGATAACGATAAATTATCATCAAGGATCAAGGTCATCAAGGATCTATTGAAAACGGAAGAGGAAAAAAAAATTTAACGAAATCCAATTTATTTTTGGATTTAAGAAGGATTGTGCGATGGTACAAAAGATAATTTGCGAGGAAAAAGGGTTGCGGGTGCCACTTTGTATTAAAAAGAGTTTTTATATTGTAATAAACCAAGTTTTTTTGCCTGGGAAATATATTTTTATTTTCTAACATATTCAGATTGAAGAAATAATTCTTAACTCACGAACGTTTGCAATATGGATGCTGAAGAACTGTTGTTTTAAAACTTCTAAGATAGTTTTAAATCTTTTAAGATATATATAAGTATACGTATAAAAGAATATGTATATAAAATGTGTGTATATATGCTACATAACAAAATAAAATATTTTGTCTAACACGCAATGTGTGAGGATTCATAGATTAATGATATGAATAATATTCCTGCAAATTTTTTTTAACTATTCTTTCTTTTATATAATAGACATATCAATATTCAAGTTTTTAAATTAGAAACTGGAAACTGTTAACTGATGTACATTATATTTTGACTAAAAAAAGTTTATATGTTAAATTTATATTGTGTGTTGTGTCAACGTATTCGTTGCACACACATTGTGTTTGTTTATATCAATCATATATATCCTAAAAAATAAAAATCCTGCATTTCTCTCTCATTCTGCTTCATCTTTTACAGTTTCTCAAATATATAATCATCTTTATGTCTATAATATCTTCATTAACAGAAGGTTGCCATTGATTAAAAATGTCTTGTATTATTTATAACGAAATCTTGGTAATAATGAAATGCATTGAAACAATAAATTTATGAAATTATCAAATTTATGAAATTATTCAAAAATCATTAAAAAAAAAATTACATATTCTTGGAAAGTTTTTGTAAAATGTTAAGCTTATATTTTTCATTGAATTGGTCATGACTAAAATATCGTTAAAGGCGCAAATCGGATAAATGATTAAAATAAGATAAAACGAGGCATTTTCATCATATTTCTGGACATCTTATGACAAAATTTTTTTTTGTCGTAGGTTTACTGATTTACTAGAACTCGACGAAATCAAGATTGATGCAATCAAGATTGAAGGAACCCTTCAGGAAGCGGATGCTTTGTTTTTGGAAACATCCATGAACGCTGCCAATAAGATTAACAGCATAGAGAGTAGTAAAGAAAATAAGAATATTGGAAGTTCATCATACGATCATTATGCGTGCACTATTTGCACCTTTCCATGCCAAACGAAAGGGAGTTTAATAAGACACTTGAAGCTTCACGAGCATACATGTAGCATCTGCAATGGAATGTTTGAATCGTCGAAAAAGCTACAGAGTCACATGGCCATAAATCATGGCGAGGCCAAGTACTTGTGTAAATTGTGCAACACCATTTTTTGGACTAAGCCGGACTTGAGAAAACACTTTACGACAAAGCACCTGGATCCCTTTTGCAACACCTGCGTTGCTTGTAATCAGGAATTTCAAACGATGTACGCTATTACGAGACATATGCATAGCACCCACAGTAGTGTCTCTGTAGCGTGCACTATCTGCAAATGCGAATTTGGTGGCTTTTCAGCGTTGAAATCGCACAACAAACACGTTCATTTGAAGTCGGGATTCCAATGTGGCATCTGCGGGAGACGAGATATCTTCAACGTGGTTGATTTAGAAACACATTTACGCCGACATAGAGACAAACAACGAGTATCAAGCCTGCATGTTTGTACAACGTGCGGACAGTCTTTTGATAAGAAACCTCATTTATCTGCACATATGATCAAATGTCACGGCAAAACTAATCCTTACGTATGTCCGATTTGCAAAAAGAGTTTTGGAAAACGTTCGAATCAAATACAACACATTTTAACGCACATGCATAATGTATATGCCTGCGATATTTGCGGAGCGAAATTCCCACGAAGGTCTTCTTTAATATGTCATAGGAAAATGCATCCTGGACCACTTGGGCCATTACCGATTATACCTGTGACAGGCATTGTAAGCAAGTTCGTTAGAGATTACTTGAGCAGTAATAACAGTCTATCAGATTCTCAATCGTGAATTTGATATGATAAAGTCTAAAAAGTTAGTGAATAATTTATTTGATCCGAAATTGCTCTTTCTTTAGGAAATAGGATTTTTATAAAGTAAAGATAGATTGTTTTAAGTAATTTTTCTATAAGCGTTTTTAATTATGCCATCGCAACTTGCAGTTATAAAATAAGAGATTTATTGTTCTATCTTGATTATACTTTGATACTGCGATTTGATTATATTACGATTATAATACGATTATATTTTCCATTAATAATGTTATAATATAAATTTATGTTTTATTTTTAACAAAGAAATACGATTTAACTCATGTACAGAAAATGTATTTAAAATATATTAACGATTAATCAAGATTATGTTTTCCAGATCGTTTGATTAATCTATTTCTCAATAATTACATATTGATTTTTGTAGAGAATTTATTTGTTCTTGCCGCGTCAGGTAAGTTACCATTTGCCATTCACATAATTAATAATAATACTAATGCCTACTCTGTTTTAGATGGCCAAAAAATTTTGCGTTACATTGCAATAAGCAACGTTCTCTCTCTCTCTCATCGATATATAAAATCGGTATAATATCTTTCGTAAATATCTGCAGACTTCTAATCACACTCAGTTAGGAAGGTAACTTAGAAGACGATGTCAATAAATCTGAATGTTTATTAAATCGCGCCCAGTGGTCATTAAACTACTTCCTATTACTCCCCTCTTTATTAGCGAAATTTCAACGGTTCTAATCGATAGACTTAAACAATCAAATCCTCGATTTATAGCTAATAATAACGTAAACTTTTGCCCTTTTATGTTTTAGAGCGGCAGATCCGTTAAACGTTGAATCCATTGTCACCCGAAAACAATTCGAATGCGAACGAATGAAAAGAAAAAAGCCTTTAATAGAAGACGAAGAGCGAATACAAGGGATAAACGTAAACTTGACGAGAGAATCTAGTCCGCGAATTGTAACCGAAGAGAATCGGCCGGCCAGAAATAAGACGACGTGTGTAGAATGCGATCACTGTTGCCGCAAATTCTTGAAGAAGAGCAATCTCGCCGAGCACTTGAAACAGCACAGACACAAGTGCGCCGATTGCCCGAAGACCTTTAGTCTTCGGCGTTATTTGGTCTCTCATATCGAGAGGAATCATCGACAGCAGATGTACGAATGCAGCGTGTGCAAATACAAGAGCAATAACAAGGGCACTCTGAAAAATCACTACATCCGACTGCACACGAGCAACTACGATTACGCGTGCGACATTTGCGGCAAGCAATTCAAGATCAAGAAAGCTCTAAATCATCACGTGAAGCAGAATCACAGCGAAGCACCGCCAATCGTGTGCGACGTTTGCGGCCATTTCAGCAAGAATCTCCACGCTCTCAAAGCCCATATGAAGTACAGACACTATAAACCGGAATTTGTTTGCCGGATATGTCGACGGGGCATGACTACACAGGAGAACTTGGAGCAGCATCTCATGTGGCACGAAACCAGGGAGAAGGTGCTCTGTCCGACCTGCGGCAAAAGATTCCGAGGTCGTGATCTTGATTCGCACATGAGGGTGCATACCGGAGTAAAGCCGTTCCCCTGTCCTGTTTGTGGAAAGACATTTCGACGACAAACAGCACAAGAGCAACATGTATTGATTCACACCGGGAAGAGACCCTATATTTGCGATATTTGCGGTCAAGCGTTTGCCCAAAAACCTGGTCTCATCTGCCATAGGAAGAGACATCCTGGTCCGCTACCTCCGCTGCCTGTAGTCTCTATTAAGAACATTGTCACGGAATTTACAAAAGAGTACACGACAAAGAACGCAGTCATAAAGATAGAATAAGAATTGTTTATAATATTTTTAGTACATATAACGAGATGAAACTGATTGCATTTTGAAAACTTTGTCATTGCACAAGAGAAAGAATAATTCAAGATTTGACTTAAAAAAGGTCCTAAGGAACAAACATCTCAGAGAAAGTTGCTTTTCCAAAAAATATTTTATCTTTATATAAAAAAGAGAGATACATATTTCTTTGATATGTTTTGTAGATATAAATATAATATTTTTGTAACTCTTATAAATATTTTTATAAACTATGTCTTTACACATTAGTCTCTTTTGACATATATACAAACTTTTTCTCAGCAGAAATCTATTATAGAAATTATATACATACACAGAGTCTTTTTTATGTCAAGTTTCCAAGTATAAAGATTTTTTTAATTTTTCTATTGTATTTTGTATTCATAGTTTGCAATAAATCTACAATATTTATAAATTTTGAATATATTTATTATGGCTTCCTACATGTGTGATAATGAAAACTTTACATATTGAAAGAAATTAAAGAACATAACGTTCTATAATATTTGTTTAAGATGGATATTGAGAAGGGAATATCGATATATTTTTTTATTCAACTACCACTATAAATTCGAATTTATTAGTCTTAATATAAAGCGATTAATCAAATAGAAACAATATTAATCATTATTTAATGTGTGTTACTTTTTACCAGAAAATATTTCGACGATAAAATTTTAGATATATATGAATTAATTTTTTTATTGTTTTTATTAATTTTTGTAAAAATAGTGCCACATATAAAATTTCAATTAAGTAAAAATCAATTTTAAATATTTTGATATATATTTTTTATTGATGTATCGGATCATTGTATTATATTTAAAAATATTTTATGTTACATAAATTGTGTGATCTATATTTACAATTTAATTTAACTGAACAATATTTTTATATTTTTCACATTCTCTTTGTAGATTAAAAATATTTTCGAGTAAAAAAACCGGAAAAGATTCGACACATTCTTAATATCTCAAGTAAGTAAGCTTAATATCCAGCGATAGATCATGGATCGTTCGAAATAAAATTTAATTCGATCGTAATTTATGTTTTAGCGATTCAACCATGGACCCTCTGAACGTCGTGGACATCAATAATTCGGAACACTTGCTGGTCGAAAGCATAGAGTGCACGCCAGAGTATGACTCGCTACCAAATAAGCTCAAACGACATATTACTAGAAAAAGAAAGATGCCGAAACAGGAGAATTATTCTACGGGAAAAGATACGAAAAAGCAATATCACGATCAGAACAAAGTCAAAAGGAAACCCGAGCTCTTCTTGGAATGTGCCACATGTGGCAAACGTTTCAGCGACAAACCTACTATGATAAAACATATGAGCCAGCACAAGTACCAGTGCCAAACCTGTTGCCAGAGTTTTAGTCTGAAGCGAGACATGAAGCGTCACATCGAAAAGGTTCATGGACCTCTACTCTATCCCTGCAGCATTTGCGAATATAAGAGCAACAATAAATGCACCTTAAAGGATCACTTCATACGGAAGCACACCAGCAGCTTCCAGTATACCTGCAAGGATTGCAAGAAGCAGTTCAAGATCAAGAACGATTTGAAGCAACATATGAATCAAGTGCATAGTGGCGCACCGCCTATCATTTGTAGTATCTGCGGACACGCATGTAAAAACGTGCCTGCCATTAAGGCACACATGAAATATCGACATTACAAGCCAGCTTACGAATGCAAGATATGTAAACGCGGTCTGACCACGCAAGAGAATCTGGACCAGCATCTAATCTGGCACGAACGGAAGGAGAAGGTCGTCTGTCCTACTTGCGGCAAGACTTTCGGCCAAAAGAGGGACTTGGACCTTCATTTGAGGATCCATCAAGGTATCCGGCCATTTTCCTGTCCAGTCTGCGGCAAGACTTTTCCTAGAAAGACCGCGCAAGAGCAACACATATTGATTCACACCGGCAAGAGACCGTATATTTGCGACATCTGCGGCCAAACTTTTGCACAGAAGCCAGGACTCATTTGCCACAGGAAACGTCATCCTGGACCACTGCCGCCGTTACCTGTAGTATCTATTAAAAAAATAATCATGGACTTTACGCAAGAACTGGGAGTTCCTCTTACGCAACAACAAGATAAAATAACGTTAGATAGCTAAATGTCAATTCGGAAAATTGTTTTGCCGCATCGATGACAATTCGCCGTCCGAGATTTTAATTAAATTCGTTCAGATTAGTTTAAGAACGATTTCGTGTATATATGACATCGATTATTACGATCACGAATTTCAAAAGAATGTGTTTTTCTGAAATTAAAAATTTGTCTGGAAAAAACATAATTAAAAAAAGAATGCACTTTTCGAGATTAATTTAAAATACAGAATTTGTATCTTAAATACTAGCTGGATTAATCCATGCTACACATTCTAAAAGTTATGTTTTAATTTCAGTTTTTAATTTTAAGATTATATTTTACTATTTACATAGCGTTCACCTTTGTCGTTCAGTGAGTTTGAACATTTGTTTTCAATATATAATCAAATATACTAAACTGACATATAGTTTATTGCAAAAAATGAGAAAATTAAAGTGAAAAATTTTGCGAATTATAATTATATATAGTTATTTGTTATATAAATCATAATTTTGTTTCATACACATACACACATATATATGTATATACAATTATATGTATATAATTTTTTAACAACGAAAATTCGGAAAATATCCGAAGGTTTTTACACAAAGATATTGTATATTACATATATTACATTTGTGGCTGAGTTCCGATATTCACTGCCAGTATTGAAAATCTATAATGTACGTGACGTAAATTATAGATTTTCAATACTGGCAGTGAATATCGGAATACAGTCTGTATAACATATATTCTTTCTCTCTATTCTCTATTCGCTATGGTGTGTACATAAATGACTGTGTATTTACTGTGTTTAAATAATAAAAAAACATTGTCCAGTTATTTTGATGTTGTATTCTTCTGGAAAGTTTAATATATGTATATATATTCTTATTTCATCATTTTATAGAAAAGATTTGAAGTAATTATGCTTTGCAAGTTTATATATTTTATACATTAGTATCAACATTTATATATTAATATTTCTTACATTATCGTATTATCATATTATCCATTTATTGAAGACAACTAGTAAAAAGGGGTAGATAACTCGAAATGAAGAAGTAAAAGTAAATTAGTGAAGATTTTTATGCGCACAAGTATATTTGAAACGTATAGCACTTTTTAGTAGAAAAATATTTTCTACTTTAATTTTTAATTCGATATTTGCAAGATTTTATCGCGAGACATACCTCTCATTACCCTCCGTTATTTCAGGCAACGAAGGGGTAAATCGCGCGCCGTGCATCAATGCGTCAAGTGCGGAGCTTGCTTTCGCCATACGCGAAAACTCGTGGAACATCTGAAGAATCTACACAATATCGATCGGGCTTTCAGCTGTGACGAATGCGACAAGACGTTCCGCAGCCCGATGAACATAGCTCGCCACAAACTGATCCATACCGGGTTGAAGATGTTCATCTGCGATCTCTGTGACTATAGCACTAATCAAAAGTCCAATCTGGAATGCCATCGTCGCCGACACGCGAAGGATTATAGTTTCAAATGCGAGATGTGCGACAAGGGTTTCTTTCACAAGACCGAGTATCTGGAGCACCAAAACGCGCATACAAATAAGAATCTATATCGCTGCGAGCACTGTTGCAAGTACTACTTCTACAAGAAGAATCTGTCGGTGCATCTGGTAACGCATCACACGGACAAACAAACCGGCGTTCTCGCGAAGAACGCAAAGACGAGGCACGTGTGCAAATTCTGTCCGGAAAGATTCGTCTACAAGAAACTGCTGAAGAGACACATGAAGAATCAGCACGGATTCACGGAACACGCTCCGACGAAACACCTGTGCGATCTGTGCGGCGCGGAATTGTCGTCGATGAGACGATTAACGGTGCACAAACGTAATCATGTGGGCGAGAAGATCTTCGAATGCGATACGTGCGACAAGAGATTTGCTAGCAAGGAGAATCTGAGTATCCACAAACGAACGCACACAGGTGACAAACCGCACGTGTGTCCGCAGTGCGGTAGAAGTTTCACGCAGAGGACCTCGTTGGTCTTACATCTACGATATCATTCGGGTCAGAGGCCTTATCAGTGTCCGGATTGCAGCAAGAGTTTCGTGTCCAACGCTTTGCTCAAGAGGCATCGCAAAGTGCACGAGAAAACCGTGCAACCGAAGATACGATGAAGCATTCAACTGATCTTTATCTTATTTTAGATTGATTTATCGACTGTGATTGTAATATTTTGTAATAAAACAATGTAAACGAGAAATGATTTTAATTATGGTCCAAGTCGCGATTGAATTCGATTTTGCGTAAATTAATTAACGATTCTTTTTAGCTGCGAAAACGCATTTACTAAAGCATCGACTTTATCTTAAGTAACTGAAATAAATGAATAAATGAATGTTAGTAGAATTGCAGTTACATATCTTTATGATGCTTTATGTAAATGTGTATCTACCTTGATTATTACAGCCCATGGACGAATAATCACGATTTGAAAGTGAAGAATGGGGACCTGCCTGATCTTGGACAGAAGTGAGTTGCATATGATTTCTATTTTTTTGCTTACAATTTTATCTTACACGTTTACAACATAGAGAATTAAACGAATTATAATGATTACAGAAACTGAAATTTACCTTGAAGTTCAATTTATTATTAAACTTTCCTATATAGCTTTGATCATATAAAATACGGGAAATCATAATAGATTTGTTTTTGTATAAAATTTTATAAATTAGCTATTCTTCAAGACTTTGAATCGATCTTTCCTTCATCTACTTTTTAAATCGAGAATATAATTACACCAAGTAATTAAATTTAAATATTCAAGACATAAAGAGGCAAGATTATCCATCGTAATAGATATTTTTTTGAAGTCTTACCAGAAAATAAAAAAATCTGATTTTAATGAAATTTTATAGATATTTATTTTATGATTTGTAGCAGTTCTGTACAATTACATCACGTGTATAACTATGCTATATTTCCACGTTTTATAATATATTGTATGCAGTAATCTGTGCTTCTACTTCTTTTTTAAAAACATATTTAACAACATAATTTCTGAATACATTTTAAATTAAATAATTTACTGATTAAATATTAAAAAAAGACAGTCCGTTACGGAAACGCTTGAACGATTACAGATTCGAAGGTAGCGAGAAAATTTGCGAGCTGTGTCGAGAGAAATTTCACTTTGTTACGAGATTAGTCGCTCATCTGAGAATAGCGCACGGCATTCATCGACCCTTCAAATGCGTCACTTGTGGCAAGAATTATCCCCAGCAATTCATGCTTAACGCCCACGTGAAGAAATCGCACACTCTCAAAACGGTGCCGTGCAACGAGTGCAATTTCATGGGTGTCGACGCGACCGACGTGGAGAGGCACAGGAAACGACATCATCGAGCCTCGAAATTCACGTGCGAAATTTGCAGCGAGAATTTCATCGACAAGGACACTCTGATCACGCACACGACGATGCACAACTTTATGCAATATCAGCAATGCAGCGCGTGTGGTAGCATCTTTAATGACGTGTACAGGTATGTCTTTCTAATCGCGTTTGTCAAATAAACAGCACATTATTACATCTGAATTTATTGCTGGCATTTTCCTTATATATAATTCGGGTTTTCTAAATTCTTAAGAAGATTTTCCAAGTATTTAGATTATATTTCATCAAAATATCTACTATCTCTCTTAGTTTGATTTTTATTGTGCCATTAAAATAAAATGCGCAACAACTTATATATACTTTCGACCTGTTTTAAAGACAAAAATTTTCTCTTTGATTAAAAGTAGTACTGTCAATACTTTAAATCACAATTAATTTCGTAATATAAAGGTAATGTCAAACAAAGCGCGCGATATAGATTATAAAAAATAAAGAAAAAAAATATTACGTAGCTTGAAGGAGCATAATCGTCTACACCACTACGATCCTGCGGTCATGTCGGATGAAAGGATCGAGGAATCTATGGAGAACGGATCCGAACACAAATGTGACGTTTGTGACAAGGTCTACAAGTACAAGTCGATGCTGAAGCAGCACAAGATCAAGGCCCATGGGAATCCGTCTCTCTACGAGAGACGTAGGTATCTTTGCGCACAATGCGGCAAGGAGTTGAAGACCGCGAAGGGTCTCGAAATTCATCATAGATCGCACACCGGCGAAAAGCCGTACACTTGCGAAGTGTGCGGTAAATGTTTCGCTTGCGAGACCCTGCTGAGGACCCACAAGGTCATTCATACCGGAGAACGGAAGTACTCGTGCGATCAATGCGGCAAGTCTTTCACGCAGAGGTCCACGTTGGTTGTTCACAAACGATATCACACGGGCGAACGACCGTACATTTGTCCTCGATGCAATAAGGGTTTCATCACACGAACTGTTCTTAATACTCATATTAAGTCTTGTCGTTAGAAGACTTGCACTTACGGGATTAATAATCCCCGACAAAGAAATCGTCGGCAGTATATATATAAAGGATAATTTTTTTTACCTCAGAATGATAGATAAATTTATTTTTCGTGATTTTAGTAACAAAAAAAGCCGTCCGTGGCATTGATAATATGTAGTATACTTATTGTTAATTATAAGTAATATACACAATGATGCATTTATATTATTATATAAAACGAATAAATAGTATTGTAGAAAATAGCTTTTTTATATTGTAGATCGCTTGACTCATAAAATAAAAGATACAATTTTTCATTAAAAGTATTTGACGAACAATGTAATGTATTTTTTGACACTCATATATACAATTTAGAGTTAATTTTTTATATATTTTTACATATTTTTTATAACAAAATATTTTTATTTGTGACATGTATAGTCGATCGTTTGTATTGCAAAATTGCAATACTCTTATGTTCTTATTATCAATTTTCTTTCGATTTAATTCTTATTCTCTACATGTATAAAATAAAAATATTCCGTTTACTCGTAACATATTCTTGTAACAAATCTGCAAAGAATAGCAGAGGAACATCTCTTTACGAACTTTCAGCTGATTCACAATTTACAATACAAATTTTATAGACAAGATCACAACATTTTACTATACAGACATTCGATTGTATAATATTCATCATTATGCGCGAACTCACTAGAATATGTTCAAATGTGCAAGCAAATTTCTATAATTAATATCATTTTTGATAGCGTAACTCGGGAGAAGATGTCATACTTAACTTTGAAAGGCAATGTGTTTGTAATTATTAATTATGAGCAAAAAAGAATAAAACAAATCGAAATATTGTCATTATATTTGTATTTGGTTATAATTAAAAAAGTCTAATTCTTTTATTATTTTAACAGTAACAGCAACAAAAAATTCCTACATATATGAGTAAGATGCCAGACAAGAATAATCTACTTAGCTGATCGCGTTTAATATTGGTGATGAAAGATGACAGTTCTAACATCTTATCCCGGCATGCAGATATCAACATCAAGTTACTTTCTGTAAAATCTAATCGCAAAAAGTATAAAAAATTAGTGTTATATAACTTAATATGATCAAATCATATTGGTTACAGACATATTTCTTTAACTCTGTTATCTTGATTAATTTAAAAATATAAAGCATAAAGAAACGCACTGTCGTTTCGTCATCTGGCATTTGATCACATAACTTTTTCTTTATGGCGGAAACGTGTAAAGTGAAAAATTTTATCATTGAAATTAATGGCAAAATTTTTCACGTTTTTGTCCTAGGAAAAAAGTTACGTGATCGAAAGCCTGCACTAAACGCAATCAGCTGACAATGTACAGATTAGTGGTACTTTTTATCGAAAAATCTAAAAATTACGGAAAAATGGCATCTTGCCCGACATGACATCTTTACTCGATTTATCTTTTATCTATATTAGTATTTTTCTATAAATAATCACTGCCGTTTTAATATTGTTGCTATAATTATTCGTATTCTTGCGAGTAATGTAAAAATACAGACTTAATAATGTAAAATTTATATACCGATTTTTTATATAAGGTCGATAAAATCGACGAATTTATATAAATTTATTTTGTATGAATCGACAATTATTATATGTTGAATAAATAATAAATTTTGTAATGATACTTATATACAGATATTATTTTGTCCAAACATATATACAGAAACATAAATTATTTAAGATTAATATCAAGTCTAGTTATATTAACTATCAATAATTTTAATTGCAAAACTGCACAATGTATTCAGGTGCATATATAATGAGATTTAAAATTATTTGAATAAGAAATCGATTATCTTCTTTAATTTGTATATCATATTGATTCCGCCATGTTAGATTTAGCATTTCTAAAGTTTTTCAATCTGTGAATTATTTCCTTAGTTTCCAATACAAAAAGTTATAAAACTATATTATAATATAAGTAATTAAATAATTGGAACAAAACGTCACTAACCGAATTATTATTAAAAGTGACTCATTTCGATCCTTTAAGGCGAATTTTAACCACTTTTCCACAGATGTAAACGAATAAAAAAGTTACTATCGTATTTAGCGGTCCGAGAAACTTAAGATTATGCATATATAACTTGTGTTATACTTTTTAGGCAAAATCGGTCCATTTTATACATCATCGTTTTCAATTATGAATATATTTATTATGGCTTCCTATGTATGTAGTAATAAGAGTTTAACATATTGAAAAACTTGAAGAACCACAATATTCTATTTGTTTAAGATGGATATTGAGAAGGGAATTTTGGTATCATATTTTTTTTGCTCAACTATCAATATAAATGCAAATTTAATTGGTTTTAATATAAAGCGATTAATAAAGTGAAAACGATGTCAATCATTATTTAAAAAGGTGTGTTTTACTATTTTTATTACAAAATATTTTGACGATAAAAATTTAAATAAATATAAATTAATTTTTGTGTTGTTTTATTTAATAGTTTTTTTTTAAATGTCAACCCAAAAACTTTAATTAACTGAACATCAATTTCAAATAATTAATCATTTATTTTTTATTAATGTAGAACATTGCATTCAAAAATATTTTATGTTATGTAAATTGCGATATTTAACTTAACTGAACGATATTTTTATATTTTTCGCATTTCATTTGTAAATTAAATATTTTCGCGTGTAAAAAAGCCGGAAAAGATTCAACACATTCTAAATATCTCAAGTAAGCTTAATATCCAGCGATAAATCATGGGTCGTTCGTAATAAAATTTAATCGTAAAATTTGGTCGTTATTTATGTTTTAGCGATTCAATCGTGGACTCTCTGAACGTCGTGGACATCAATGAATCGGTACATTCGCTCATCGAAAGCATAGAATGCACGCCAGAGTATGACTCGTTATCATATATGCTTAAACGACATGCTACTAGAAAAAGAAAGATGTCGAAACAGGAAAATCATTGTACAAGAAAAGGTACAAAAGAGCAAAATCACAATCGGAACAAAATCGAGAAAAGAAAATCCGAGTTTTTTTTGGAATGTGAGACACATGTGGCGAACGTTTCAGCCAAAAATTCATCATGTTAAAACACATAAAGCAGCACATGTATCAGTGTCAAACTTGTTGCCAGAGTTTTAGCTTCATGCGAGATTTGGGGCGTCACATCAAGAAGATTCACGAACCTCCACCTTATCCCTGCAGCATTTGCGAGTTCAAGAGCAACAGTAAATGTATCCTAAAGGATCACTTCATACGAAAGCATACCAGCGGCTTTAGATATACCTGCACGGTTTGCAAAAAGCAGTTTAAGATTAAAAGCGATTTGAAGCAACATATGAATTATGTACATACTGGCGAATCGTCAAACATTTGTAGCATCTGCGGACATATATGTAAAACCACGCGTGCCATGAAAGCGCATATGAAATATCGACACTACAAATCGGCTTACGAGTGCAAGATATGCAAACGCAGTCTGACCTCGCAAAAGAATCTGGACCAGCATCTAATCTGGCACCAACGGAAGAGGGAGGTTGTCTGTCCCACTTGCGGCAAGATTTTCGGCCAGACAAGAGACTTAAATCTTCATTTGAAAATCCATCAGGGTATCCGACCGTTCTCTTGTCCAATCTGCGGCCATACTTTTCACAGAAAAACCGCGCAAGAGCAACACATAATGATTCACACCGGCAAGAGACCATATGTCTGCGACATATGCGATCAAACTTTCGCACAAAGAACAGTACTTAATAGCCATAGAAAGCGTCATCCTGGATCACTGCCACCATTACCTGTAGTATCTATTAAAAAAATAATCCAGGACTTTATGCAAGAACTGAAAGTTTCTCTTACCCAGCAACAAGATAAAATAACGTCAGATAGCTAAATGTCAATTCGGAAGATTGTTTTGTCGCATTGATGACGATTCGCTATCCGAGATTAATTAAATTCGTTCATAATAGCTGGATTAATCCATGATAAACATTCTAAAAGTTATGTTTTAATTTCAGTTTCTATGTTTAAGTTTATATTTTACTATTTATGTTTCGCGTTCACTTTTGTTGTTCAGTGAATTTTAAAATTCATTGAACATTTGTCAATTTATAATCAAATATATTACTAAACATACACACACATATATATAATTTTTTAACAACGATAAAAAAAACAGAGAATTTGGTTATATTCTACTATTTATTATTATTTTCTTTTCAATTTTGTTATTTATTTTGTCAGTGTTACATTCATTTTTTTAAATTTTTTAACCATTTTTTATTGCGTACATATACTAAATGAACTATTGCACATGGTCATCTAATTTGTAAGTCTTTGCATTTTATCGATGCTTTGTCTCTGTCAAGCATGCGTTGTTCCATTTATTTGACTTTTCAGATGTTATGCTTATTAACGTTGGATTAAAGGACTTGTTCGGATGGACATGGATGAATGTCCGTTTAGCCAACTTGCACCTCCGTGGTCTATCAGCGTGAAGGGACGCGTCCTACAAATGATGAGCATTGATCTTGTGATTTCCTGGTCATTTCATCAAATTTTTTAAATGCTTTTCGAAAAAATAAATTTTGAAATATTTATTATAAAAGCCAAAGTGTGTGTGTGTGTGTTTGTTTATCCGAGATACGTGTCGAGAATCGTTAAATTATGTATTTTATTATATTATTTAGTAAGATCCAATAACACTTGACTACGGATAACTTCAAAAAGATATTTACACACATGACATTCTGTAACATGTCTTGTTGATATATTATATTATACTGAAAACATCGTTAGTCTTCGATGATCCTTTGAAGCGAAAAGATCACGATTGAACTTATACACTTTTGACTAAAAGTAACGGCTTGTGCCTGATTCAAGAAAGGTAATTATGGGTAAATCAAATACAGGATATTTAGATATTTCTTTTTAAATATATGCTTATATAAATATATAAAGAACACATTAATACAGCATCTTTTTCTAAAATATATTCTGTGTTTAATTTTCAAGAAAAATTAACATGTTCTTTTTTATTTTAAATACTACTTTTATTCTTTGTTATAATAAACATGAAAACATTCAAGCATGAATTATAACAGCATATTTTAATCATTAAACGAATTAAAAATCGGAAACGAATTGTCTATGCTTTGTATGATACATTTTTTCCCTAATGGATATCTAGAGTCATTGTTTTCTGACGTTATGTTAAGTTAAATATGTAATAAATATAAAAATGGACAATCAATGGATGTTAATATTTTTCGTAAAAAATGTGTATATAATGATAAATACTAATGAAAAGTTGCTTTGCGTTTTTTATTCACATTTAGTTTAATTTGCTCATGAAATACATATTGAAATAAGTTCAATTTCGTAATAGTTGCTTTGTTGTTATCTGTTTCTTGCGTGTATACATGACTTTCGATTAAAGTGACAAATAAACTTTGATAATAGCGTATTGGTAAATATATGTCGAACTATGACGAACGAAGCTCATTTGTTAGAAGAGATCACTTTACACATTACTTATACATGTTTGTATTTGAATCTAAAAATATATTTCTAAATTTAAGATTTTTTAGAGAAGATTTATACTGCAATAGAACTTGTTTTTTTTTTTTATACAATGTTATAATATACATTGCACAGAAATGTATAATTGTATTAAAAGAATATAAGAAGGAGAAACATTCTCATAACATTGATAATCTTAAAGAATAAACTTGCGGGAAATAAAAATTATTTATTAATTCTTCAATTTTAAGATATTAAAATACATACAATTTAACTTATATGCGTAACTACAACTATAACTGATAAAGTTGAATGTAAGTACTTTGCACATTTTTAATTTATATTCTGTGTATTTTTTAGCTTTGAATCTTCAAAGTTGGCTTCAATATTTAATGGCTCTGTTTATATTTATTTAATTATTTACATATAGTTTTGTTGTATAGTCATGTATAGACAAATCTATCTTAACATCTAAATTTATTTGTTTTGAAGATAACAAGAATTAATTTCTCATTATTTATTGTTTCTGTCACAAGTAGAATTTCTTCACCGTTTATGCGATTTATAATTTATTAGATAGCCGATATATTTCAAGTTACTATTCTCATATTTCATTTATCAGTTACTTATGTAATTTTGAATTATTATTTATAATTCCAACATGTAAATTATATTTTGCGTATCTTTGTATATTCTTAAACTGAATCTAATATAACTGATTCCTGGATGTGCTTCACAATACAAAGTATAAATTAATCTGGCATTGATTCAGCCATATTGGAATAAAAATAATGCACTCGATAATCAAATCCAATATTAAATAAGCATTAGCATTAATCTATCATGGCTATAGAAAGCTATAAGTAATATAATTTTATAAAATTACAGATATTATTTTTAATTACACAATTAAGTCACATGACAATTAACCGAACAGAACATTTCTTATAAATGTTCTGAGAGATTATTTGCACGAAGCAAATACTAATCAGAAAATCATAATAATCACAATAAAAAATTAGAACGTAATTCTTCATTGCAATAATATATTTAATCGAAATAACTATATATTTTAAAGTCTTTTTCAATAAGATAATTACGGAAAGTTCGAAATAATTATTTCTACACCAATATACTATAAAGTTAGAGAATAAACTGTATTGTATGTTATGACTGAAACAATTAATAAAAGAACACAATTTTATTGAATTAAAATTAACATACATTGTGTTACAAAAGAATATAAATTGCAATATATATGCAAAAATTTCTCGTGAAAATTATTACCAGTATAAATATATAGAGAGTATAGCATTTTTTTAAATGTAATTTTTTTTTCTTTATATGAATAGACAATTTTTTACCTTCTTTATAATTTTTTTCTGATCTTTGTTTTCTATACTATTTTCTCTTAGCAAAGAAATGTTTTTGCAGATATTTAAAACAAAAATTGACATGATGTTTTTAAAACTGTTATTATTAAACAGTTTATTATATATCATGGCCATAGCTTTATCCACCGATGAAATTGAAGATTGGGATAATGCGCCTAATTATTATTTGCCAAAATATATAGTACCATTTCATTATAACTTGAACCTAAAACTAATGTCAAATTATATAAAAGGCGAATCCAATACCAATATTTATATTGATCGTGAAATACAAAACATAACTTTACATACATCAATATCAATTGATATAACTGAAGTAAAGTTGATATCGCTAAAAGATGGAATGATCTATGAACTGTATAATACCTTTTATGATATTCTTAAGGAATTATTTATTCTTGGTCTTAATAGTAAAGAGCCTGAACAAAATTTAGAATATGGAGTTTATACCCTGTATTTAAAATTTAACATAATGACTCATGAGACAATAGATTTATTGCAAACTTACACATACACCAAGGAAAATAAAGAGTGAGTAGAAATTAAAATATAATAGAAAGCTGTTATGTATATATTTATATATTATATTTTGTAAACATTTATATATTATATTTTGTGAATATTATTTATTATTATATTTTACAAAGCATTTGCACTATTACTATCATCATATGTTATATTAAAAGTTATAAGTTAGTAAATATATATATGTATATATATATGTGCACATATATACATGTATATAATATGTGTGTGCATATATATTATGTGTTATATGTTATGTTATATATGTATGTACATACACAGTTGGAAAATTTGTGTTTTCTTGTTAAAAAATATGCCGATTAAAATTTTTGTATTAATTAATTCATGTGTTAATTTAACATATTTATAACTGTTGTGTTAATTAAACTTCAATATTAAATTATTAATAAACAACTGAAAAAAATGTAAAAATAATACAATGTATACATATTTTTAATTTTACACAATATATATGTTCCGTATTATCAGTGACAAGATTTATCTATTAAAATTTACAGAAAAAATGTTAGTTTTATTCTATAATAGGAGTGAGAGTGACTACAGATTGCCGATAATATTTTTCTAAATTAATTTTATCATTAAAAATATTAATTTTTTTTATACAAAATTTATTTCGAATTATTATGAAGTTGCATTCATTTTGTGTTGAAATATTAACATAATATTAGTGTCACCAGTCACCATTTAACATATTTATATTATGTTAAATTAACACAAAAAAATTAGTGTACTGTTTGGGACGTGCGATATATATTAAATTTAAGCCAAATTTGCTAACAGTATATGTAGTATATGTATAGTGTGTGTACCCATTACATATATCAAATAATATCATTACATATATTATACATATAGTAAAAAACATAATAATATTTATAATATGTGTGCACATGCGTAATAATATATTATAATAAAATAATTATGAAATATAATAAATATTTTTTTTGGGGGGAATTATATATAGATTGTATTGGTACATTATGAAATCTTTAATTTCTCTATACTAACAATTGCTGAAAATTTGTTGTTAAATCTAAAGCCCATCATTAAAATGTAATAGATTCATATTTGCAACACTAATCCAACCGAGAAGAGCCCGACAATTATTTCCATGTTTGGACGAGCCGAAATTAAGTGCCACCTTCAACATTTCTGTGGAACATGATATAAAATACAAAGTTATATCGAATATGCCGATACAAGCATACAAATCTGTGGACAATTATACGATGTGTACAGTGTTCCAGATGACACCTCCAATGTCTCCGAACGACGTTGCAATTGTAATATTCGACCAGATTCTTAATAAGACTGATACTGTGGTTGACATATGGTGTAGACCGCATTTGGTACTTTATATGTTACACGCGCAATATGTCGCTGGAAATGTAATTAAGTATCTAAAAAACAATTTCAAGATCTTGAGAACAGTTCCAAAAATGAATTATGTCGCTATTCCAAGTTTAGAGAATAGAATAAGGCAGACCTGGGGACTCGTTTTATACAAGTAATACACATATTCAAAAAATAATCATAATCATAATCTATTAAAACATAATATTGTGTTGAGCTTCCGAAATTTTAAAAGTCAAAATATGCATTTTTCTGCGTATAGAACTTATTTAATTAAAGAAAAATGTATACCAGTATTTATTATTATAATTTTAATTTCAAAATTAAAAAATTTTTTTTTTAACAGTAAATTTCAAAATTTGAAATAAAAGAGATTAAAGGGTTATAATTGTGCATTTCTTTGCCTTTAATCAAAGTTTACTATAAAATAAAAAATGAAAAATTTTAAAGTTTAAAATTAATTCTTGTTTGTAATATTAATTATATTCACGAATTTATGGATACTGTAATATTTATTTATTTATTTGAAATAAATATAGTTATATGTACTATATATATATTTTATTCTTTTATTATAGGTGCCGCTATATGGCGCATGTTGGATGGTGTACTTCCCTGTAATACGTTGTTCATGGGTTTAAACGCGTACTTCAACATTCGGTAAGTAATATATTGTATTAAAATAGTTACATAGTATATATGCAAGAAAGAGAACATACATAATAAAAATAGTAATGTATAATGTGCCTATAGAAGTGATGATATCAATAAATTGCGCCAAATAATGAAAAAAATATTATGCATTTTATATAATTTTATTGCTTAATTTAATTATCTATATTCTTTTACTATTATGTTTCAGTATTGAAACTGTTATTTTTAATAATTTGCGATTCATAATAAGATATTTTATTTGGATATTTGTGTATATATGTATTTTATTTTAGTTTGTAATGAAAGAAATCTATAACAAATATATATATTTTCAACTAAAGTATTCCTAAAAGCGTAATATGCATCAATAAGAGTGATAACGTTAATAAAGAATTAAAAAATTAATAAAAAATAAAATAATTAATTCTAGCAAGTTTAGCATTATAATAGCTGTCAAAACTTTATTTTCGATTGCCTTTGTTCGTTAAAACAAATAATTATTGTAATTTTCTAATGATGGATAATGTGAATTGCCACAATGTTAAATTTTACAGATTTACTTATCCTAATTCGCCAACTCCCGATGATCTACGTATATGGAGTTTTATACAGACTGGGATAGACCATAAATTAACAAATAAACTGTATAATTTAAACATAAAACAGATAATGGATATTTGGACTATGCAAACGCATTGTCCTGTGGTAAACGTGATACGAGATTATTCTAATAATCTTGTGAAAATATCGAAAGAGATTCACGACAAATTGGATCGGAAACCATATTTTATACCTGTGAGCTACACTAAAGAAACGAACATTGATTTTGTCAATACATCGGAAAATTTTAATTGTTTAACGCAGTCGAATCCGGAGGTGGAAATCTACTATGATAATAAAGATAAATGGTTCATTGCCAACATATTGCAAACTGGTAACTATAAACTGATAAAGTTAATATCTCCCTATCTTTTTATTATATAAAAAATTGAGTTTTATTACATATTTTTATTCCTATATTTTTTTTACAAGAATTGTGAAATTATTTTCTACACTATATACTCTAAACATAATAATATTCTTCTACAGCATTCTATAATATCGTCGTTAAATTTTAGATTCAATGTACTTTTCATATAAATATTAATTTTGTAATTAAAATCGTTTAAGTTTATACATTTTTGTACGCCATAATATTTCAAAGCTTTATCTTTTAATATAATTATTGATATGAAATGTTTTCGTAAAAATATACAAAAAATTTGAATTTGAGAAATATATATTCTCCTAATTTCTAGTACATTCTATATGCGTACATAAAATAAAATAAAATAAAATGATACATATAATTCAAAATATTTATGATTTCTAATTATTCTGATACATTGAAAAAATAATCGATAAAATTTATGTGTTAAATAATAGGATATTATCGCGTCAATTATGACACTGAAAACTGGCGAATGATTGCGCGTTATTTAAATTCTGATGAATACAGGAATATACACGTTATCAATCGAGCGCAAATCATCGATGATGCGTTCCATCTTACGATAGAGAAGAAACTTGATTTCTCCATATTCTGGGAACTCGCGAGCTACTTACCGCGGGAGAGGAATTATGTAGCATGGTATCCTATGATTAAAGTTTTTGAACGCATATCTAGTGTTTTTGCATTTTCAATTCATCATGAACATCCCAAGGTAAAGACTTATTATCAATAATAAAATATATCTATAAAATTATGTTAGATATTAGGTCAATACGTACAAAGTAACGATTTCATACCATGATTCTGACATGATATCTTAGAAATTAAGATATATAGTTAAAGAAAATTTTAATTATAAGTTATTTATACGCTAACCTATTAATTATCTAAAGAGAAGTGATCCTTCTTCAAGTTTTAAAAGTAACGCATTACTTACAGCGCCATTACCGTTATTTTAATTATATTTTTTGATAATGTATATAACAAATTTCACAGTAATTTTTATCGTTGTTTTCGGAATCTATGTGATATGATCTCTAAATAAGCAACCACCTATAAAGAGCAACTAAATTTTTTTAAAGATCTTGATATAATTTAATGATCCTCTCCTTTAATAATCTTCTAACAATTTTAATAAGATTTGACGACTTTTACTTTAAACCGAATCATATATAATGTAAACTTTTGCTTTACTTTTTTTTCTTATAAATTTTTGTATCTTAAAAATGAATTTAAGTCGTAACTATGGTAAATTATCATGTCGGGATTTTGAATTTGCATAAAATTAAAGATGCACAAAAATATTTAAAATGAAATAGTTTAGTAAATAGGAATGTAGTTATTATTTTTTTGTTTATATATTATGATTTGTCTTTGTAAATAATGTAATATTAAAAACGTCTAATAAATAGAGAAATATTTTTTTCTATCAAATTGCAGAAAATAAAAATGTTAATGGGAAGCTTGTTTAAAGATATAGACGAGGATATGTACGATCAAATGGGACCCGCCAACGAAGACCTTAATAAATATTTAAAACAAGAACTCACGAAATGGGGATGTCTTATCAATAATTCTTGGTGCTTGAAGATGGCCAAAAAACAATTTGAATGGCATCGATCAGATCCTGAAACTAGAAAGTATGTTTTTTTTAATCATTATTTTTGTATAGGCGTTTCTTTTATATTTTGTCCGCGTGTTGAATAAATTATTTTTTAGGGACACTGTATGTATGTACTAAATATCTATAAATGATTTGATTTTCACTAAAATATTTTTTTTCTGGATGTTATAGAGTTTTTCCTGGGTGGGAGAAATTGATATCTTGTAATAGTTTAAAGACTGTACTGTATCAGAAATGGTTCAGTGTATGGATCTTGAATATATATGAAAAGAAATTTGATTATGAAATGTTGAAATATCTTAGTTGCTCTGGTGATCCGCAAATTATACTTACTTATCTGAAGTTTAATTTACCGACACTTGAGATGCTGGTAATCAACTATAAAAATATGGATTTTGAAACAATAAGACGAGAAAAAGAACGTATTCATGCTTTAACTGGTGATATTTTCTTTTCTACTCTCGCCATGCATGCTAAGAATCCTATAATACTTAAAGATATATTAGAGAATTTTGAAATAATAAAAAACAGACTAATAATATCAGATAATAACAGGTAATAACATCTTTTTATAAACATTTATTGCTTATAATCGCGTGAAGATGTATTATGTATATAATAATTATAAATTTATACGTATATATATGTATATTGTTTTGTTCTCATAGCAACATCAGTACGATTGCAACATTAATTGTCATTATTAATAATGTGTATTCCAAGAATGAACTTGACATGGTAAATTTTATTAATCTAAATTCAATATTTATTTATATAGTTTTGCTAATAACAAAAGATTATTGCATCTGCTTTTTATAATGGATTAATTACAATATCATTTATTAATAATAAATGTTAATAATCTATTTTAGATCAATAAATTTGCGAAAAATATGACGCAATTAATTTCGGATATTGAACGCAAGATAACAACGCGTTTGCTTGAGATCGAGAGTCAGATAAAATATTATCAAACTGTATTCCCTCAATCGTCTTTAATTACGATAGATTCAATTACAATACGTCGAACTACAACACGTCTAAGTACAACGCTTTTAACTACAGTGCGTCCAACTAAAATATGTCCAACTACAACGCGTGTAACTACAACAACGCATCCAACTACAACGCGTCCAACTACAACACCTTCAATTACAACTACACCGACACCTTGGAATCAATTAGTTAATATGCTTTTAGGCAAACGTGGGTAAGTTAATTTTTTTTTTTTTAACTAAGTTAAGTTTAAATTTAATGGCTCAAAAATTAACTAAGTTTACGTTAAAAGTTACTTAAACAAAAATTAACTCAGTTAAAGTTAAGTTAAAAAATTATTTACTTATTAAAAAGTTAAAAGTTAATTATGCAAAACTATATGTTTTTTACATAATTAATTTTTCATTTTTCATTGTACATTTTACATTAAACTTTTTACATTTAGGTAATATAATAAAAAGGTAGTTTTTTATAAGAGAGATAATATATTTTTTTTTATACAATAATTAATAATACACATTATTTAAATATATTATTGTGTAATAGAGACGTTATAATATTTAAGAACAAAACGATTAATAGAAACTTTGATTATGAGGACTTTCCTGTTTAATTTGAACCGTTTTACCTGCACATTTTATGCACCTATGTGTTTTATCTTTATCTTTAATTGTTAGGTACACTAACAATAAATTAAAACAATTTTAAAATATTTATTGAATTTTAATAAAAGTGTCATCTCAAAATTATGGTCCTTCATTTTTCCTCTTAAATCATTATATACTAAACCACCTGCACTAAACATACGCTCTAGATGTGTCGAGAATGATACCGTTGTGTTATATTTTATGAACGCACGTTTTAATGATACTGGATACTGTCTTATGTTATTATAATTATTAGTAAACAAATAATTTTTGACTACCAAAGATACAAAATTTTAACTTGAAAAAAATTAATAAATTAACATTAATGCATTTAAAAATAACTAGTTTAAATTCAAAGTTAACACGTTTAAAATTAACTAAGTTAAATTCAAAGTTATTAACTTTTTAACTTCTTAACTTAATTTTTAACTTTTTAACTAGTTACTAACTCTGTTTATGGGATAAATCTATATTAGTAATCTATATTCTATATTAATGATACGTATTCTCAGGACCAACTTATTGAGGACCAACTTAAATTTTATGAAACTCAAAAATTCCATACTTATTTTTGAAGTTTTTATTATGATATTTATCTTTCGTGTGAATATATCACGTATTTTATATTTTATTAATGTACGCGTATCTTTCCTTTTTTCTCTTACATGTATCGACATATTTATGTTAATAATTTCAAAATTTTTGTCACATCTTCCTTTTATAATAATCCTTTATGAAATTACTGATTGATCACAAATAACAAACTAAAATTTATTTTAGATAAATAAA